CGGCAGGGGAAGCGGGAGAAAGCCCATAAACTCTTCATGTACGCCCTCAAGATGGATCCAGATTATGTGGATGCTCTGAATGAGTTTGGCATCTTTTCTGAAGAGGAGAAAGACATCATTCAAGCAGACTACTTGTACTCCAAAGCACTGACCATTTCTCCTTGTCATGAAAAAGCTCTGATCAATCGGGACCGAACTCTGCCCCTGGTTGAAGAGATAGACCAGAGATACTTTAGCATTATTGACAGCAAAGTTAAAAAAGTGATGTCAATCCCCAAAGGCAATTCAGCCCTGCGGCGAGTGATGGAAGAGTCCTATTACCACCATATTTATCACACAGTTGCCATTGAAGGGAACACATTAACACTCTCTGAAATACGGCACATCATCGAGACCAGATATGCTGTTCCTGGGAAAAGTCTCGTGGAGCAGAATGAAGTCATCGGTATGCATGCTGCTATGAAATACGTAAATACCACACTGGTATCCCGAATAGGCACTGTAACCATCAGCGACATTTTGGAGATACACAGGAGAGTGCTGGGCTATGTAGACCCAGTGGAAGCTGGGAGGTTTAGGACTACCCAGGTGTTTGTAGGACATCATATCCCACCCCATCCTCAAGAGGTTGAAAAACAGATGCAGGAGTTTGTACAGTGGATCAACTCCGAAGATGCCATGAGCTTACACCCTGTGGAATTTGCTGCCTTAGCCCATTATAAATTGGTATATATACACCCATTTGTAGATGGCAATGGAAGGACCTCACGCCTGTTAATGAATCTCATACTAATGCAGGCAGGCTATCCACCCATCACAATCCGTAAGGAGCAAAGGGCAGAGTATTATCATGTCTTAGAAGCAGCCAATGAAGGAGACGTGAGACCTTTCATACGCTTCATTGCAAAATGTACTGAGACCACTTTAGATATGCTGCTTATTGCCACAACAGAATATTCAGTTGGTTTACCTGAGGCTGATGGCAGCACTGCTAGATACAAGCAAACTATTCCAGTCAAAACTTGAATGTTATGACGATCCAATGACAAAATGAATGTGTGGAGTAATAAAGCTTCAACATTCCTGTTGAGAAACAACTCCACCAGAGGAGAAAATCACTCTTAGCATTTCATTTATTTAAAGATTAGTAAATTAATATACTTTTTTATATCCATTATCCTTATGCCAAGCTAAACTGTGAAGCGTTAGTGTTGAACGTGCACTAGGTCCAGCTTGTGTAACTGGAGGGGAAAGGAGAGAGAAATCCAAAGTGAGGCCAATTTGCAAGTGTGATCCAGGCTGTAGTAAAACTGATTGAATTACTTTCTACAATCCTGTATGAGATGGCTTCCTAAAGCCAACACCTTGTAATTGCCTCAATGCCAAGTCTATCTTAATTTGTATCGTACAGGGAAGGCACAAGCACCCTTTCTAAAAGTCACAAGGTAGGGGCTAGTATTTTATTGTATTGCTACCATTGTCTTATTTCGCTTTCCAACAAAACCCCTTCAGCCAGTGTTGTAGCACTTTATTTAAAAGCTCTTTAGCGGAATTATTTTCCAATTGTCCAAAGGCTCAAGATCTCCTTTCCTCCCTCACCCCACTGCTAATGTGCCATACTGCTCTCTAGTAGCTAATCTACTTTTGTTAAAGGTAACATCGAAAATTAGGGCTTTTTTTTTTTAAACTTTGTATATGCTGCCATACTTTGTATGGTGTCCGTTCCCTCTATTTGGGTGAGTTTTATGCAGCAACGGGGGGTGTGGGGGGGGATTTTTTAAAGTTGGTTTGAGACCACTGTCCAGAGGATTCAGGAGCAACTGAACAACCCATCTGTCCAAACTTAATTCAACTAGATTGCAAATTGATTTCTTCTATTGTGTATAAGGGTCCTATACTGCCTCCTGCAGCTTAGTAAGGATAATAGCTTACCTAATTCTGTAAGCAGTTGTCATGCCATAGAAAGTGACTCTTGCAATGAACACTCCAGTTACATGTTTGAAAATAGGTAGCTTCTGCAAAACCATGGGAAGCAGGTGTTCCTATACATGATAGGATTCAAGATCCAGCCCCACATCAGTAGAGATACCAAATTTGTATACTAGATACTCTACAGCCCAGTTAATGCATTTTCATCTTCAAATGGTACAAGAGGCTACTAGCCCCAACTGATGGCTTTAACAATTTCTAGATTTCCTGACTGCTAATGTGGTTGAGCTATATATGTCATCTCAACAGTATGGAGAGGGCCACTTTCTGATGCTATAATTTTGCAAGTACTCAGAAGCACATCACAAACAATTTCTTGCACTTAGGCTCCAGTAAATTCTAATACTAGAGTCCAGTTACTGTTTGTGTAAGTTGGCAATATCTAATGAAACAATGTCAGTATACTGCCATGTTCTCATTCCTGCTCTTGCTTTGATTAAAAAAAAGCATTTGAAGCTAGTAGCCCCTCAGACCCCTTGCTTGCTAGTTAGGTGATATGACAAAAAACTGTAGCAAACTGAAAATATAACAGCCCAATGCATCCTAGTTGGATTACCTACAGCAGCATCCTGAATCTGAGAATGCAATAAGATCTTTCTATAGCTCACTAATTGATGGGTATCATATAGCCACTCCATTTCTGAAATCACAAGTAGCAGCTTGTAATTGTTATGCTGCCTAGTTGTTTACTATACACAATAATTTCCCCCACCCTTTGACAAATATCATTTCTCACTTAAAGGCCTGACATGAATCCTATTTAATAGCAAGTTTCATAATAAAACCAGGAGACCAATGAAGTATCAAGATACGGTGTTGCCTGTTAGTATGTGCTGGCTCATGTTCATGTCATGTATCATGACTCAATGTACTAGACATCACTGACTGGGATAATAAACAATGGGAATTGTTTTTAAAAGCATGCTTATTTTTGTAGTACAAGATGTGTATGCAGATTCTGCACTTTAGCTATTTGTGGAAAATGTTATTTTAGTAACAGATTAATAAAGTATTTTACTATGTAAATCTTTGTTTGGGGATAATATCACTTAGCACAAGTTTAATACACTAAATTTTAATTTTACATAGTAGAGCCTGGTTCCCTGAAATCTGTGTGCTAGATGTCATTACTAGTTATTGTTACATTTTTTTTCACTCAGACAGATGTGGATTACTGTGCTTAGTTACAGCAAGAATTCCTGGCTAGCCCTGGCTTTAAAAAAAAAAAAAAAAAAAAAACTAAGTGTAGCTATAATTTACTGCATTCCAACCAACATTTCTAATTTGCTTCTAGATTCAGAGGTCACATGATGAAAAATTATTTATTGTTCCAAGCAGGGGTACATGGATGTTTTCTTCTAGAGCACTGTTTCTGGACCTTTTTGATACCAGGGACTGGCTTGCTGCCTTCCTAAACTAGGGAGATCAGGGACCAGCGTCAGTCCACGGATCGGTTGTTGAGAAACACTGTTCTAAAGCACTGAACAGAACTCATGGGATTATGGGGAAAACATGAGTGTACCTTGTTCCCTCTCATTTCCCAACGGTGTCACCCACAAGTTATGATGTGACATAATGAGATAACTGCCTCTGTGGATGAGGGGAAAGCAGTGGATGTGTTATTCCTTGACTTTAGCAAAGCTTTTGATACGGTCTCCCACAGTATTCTTGCCGCCAAGTTAAAGAAGTATGGGCTGGATGAATGGACTGTAAGGTGGATAGAAAGCTGGCTAGATCGTCGGGCTCAACGGGTAGTGATCAATGGCTCCATGTCTAGTTGGCAACTGGTTTCAAGCGGAGTGCCCCAAAGGTCGGTCCTGGGGCCGGTTTTGTTTAATATCTTTATTAATGATCTGGAGGATGGTGTGGACTGCACTCTCAGCAAGTTTGCAGATGACACTAAACTGGGAGGCGTGGTAGATACACTAGAGGGTAGGGATCGGATACCGAGGGACCTAGACAAATTAGAGGATTGGGCCAAAAAAAACCTGATGAGGTTCAACAAGGACAAGTGCAGAGTCCTGCACTTAGGACGGAAGAATCCCATGCACTGCTACAGACTAGGGACCGAATGGCTAGGTAGCAGTTCTGCAGAAAAGGACCTAGGGGTCACAGTGGACGAGAAGCTGGATATGAGTCAACAGTGTGCTCTTGTTGCCAAGAAGGCTAACGGCATTTTGGGCTGTATAAGTAGGGGCATTGCCAGCAGATCGAGGAACGTGATCGTTCCCCTTTATTCGACATTGGTGAGGCCTCATCTGGAGTACTGTGTCCAGTTTTGGGCCCCACACTACAAGAAGGATGTGGAAAAAGTCCAGCGGAGGGCAACAAAAATGATTAAGGGTCTGGAGCACATGACTTATGAGGAGAGGCTGAGGGAACTGGGATTGTTTAGTCTCCAGAAGAGAAGAATGAGGGGGGATTTGATAGCTGCTTTCAACTACCTGAGGGGGGGTTCCAAGGAGGATGGAGCTCGGCTGTTCTCAGTGGTGGCAGATGACAGGACAAGGAGCAATGGTCTCAAGTTGCAGTGGGGAAGGTCTAGGTTGGATATTAGGAAACACTATTTCACTAGGAGGGTGGTGAAGCACTGGAATGCATTACCTAGGGAGGTGGTGGAGTCTCCTTCCTTGGAGGTTTTTAAGGCCCGGCTTGACAAAGCCCTGGCTGGGATGATTTAGTTGGGAATTGGTCCTGCTTTGAGCAGGGGGTTGGACTAGATGACCTCCTGAGGTCCCTTCCAGCCCTGATATTCTATGACAGTTTCAGTTGGTTGGTTCCAGGCTACTGAGGTGAATAATTAGTTTCAACTTTAATTAAAAAAAAAAGCACACTAGAAAAGTACTGAAAGTACTGTTTGTTCACACCAGTGCCAGTGTTGTAGAACTGACCTCAGCATCTTCTCCCCATACTCATGTATATTCTGGCATCTGAAATTCCCTCATTTCAGTTGGATAATAGTATTAGTCATTTTCTCTTACATGCAGTGTAATGTATTAAGTTACTATAACTCAGTTTCGGTAAAGCATTTCACCATGTTGATCAATTAAGTAGTTTAGGGAATCATAGAACTGGAAGGGACCTCAAGAAGTCACCTAGGCCAGTCCCCTGCACTCATGGCAGGACTAATTATCTAGACCATTCCTGACAGGTGTTTGTCTAACCTGCTCTTACAAATCTCCAATGATGGAGATTCCACAACCTCCCTAGGCAATTTATTCCAGTGCTTAACCACCCTGAGAGTTAGGAACTTTTTCCTAATGTCCAACCTAAACCTCCCTTGCTGCAATTTAAGCCCACTGCTTCTTGTCCTATCCTCAGAGGTTAAGAACAACAATTTTTCTCCCTCCTCCTTGTAACAACCTTTTATGTACTTGAAAACTGTTATGTCCCCTCTCAGTCTTCTCTTTTCCAAACTAAACAAACCCAATTTTTTCAATCTTCCCTCGTAGGTCATGTTTTCTAGACTTTTAATCATTTTTGTTCTTCTCTGGACTCTTTCCAATTTGTCCACATCCTTCCTGAAATGTGATGCCCAGAACTGGACACAATACTCCTGTTGAGGCCTAATCAGAGCAGAAGAATTATTTCTCGTCGTGCTTACAACACTCCTGCTAATACATCCCAGAATGATGTTCGCTTTTTTTGCAACAGCATTACACTGTTGATTCATATTTAGCTTGTGGTCCACTATGACCCCCAGATCCCTTTCCGCCGTACTCTTTCCTAGGCCGTCATTTCCCATTTTGTCTGTGTGCAACTGATTGTTCCTTCCTAAGTGGAGTACTTTGCATTTATCCTTATTGGATTTCATCCTATTTACTTCAGATCATTTCTCCAGTTTGTCCAGATCATTTTGAATTTTAATCCTATCCATCCGCAAACTTTATAAGTGTACTCTCTATGCCATTATCTAAATCACTGATGAAGATATTTATTGAACAGAACCGGACCCAGAACTGATCCCTGCGGTACCCCACCCGTTATGCCCTTCCAGCATGACTGTGAACCACTGATAACTACTCTCGGGAACGGTTATCCAACCAGTTTTGCACTGACCTTATAGTAGCTCCGTCTAGGTTGTATTTCCCTAGTTTATTTATGAGAAGGTCATGTGGGACAGTATCAAAAGCTTTACTAACATGTACATTAAATTAAGGGATCTTGTGAGAAAAGCTAGGTATCAATATCATACTGCTACCTTACGGTAAGTTGAAATCAGACACCATATCTAAACAAAAGTGACAGTATTTAAAAAAAAAAAACCCTTTGAGAACTTTAGTTTAATAAAGCAATAACTCGCACTTCACATTGTGTACAAAACAAAATTCAAGAAGCAAACCATACAGAAACCAACTGTCAAGACATGGAATAGTCATTTAGCAAACAAAAGGTAAAATGGTCCGCAGTAGCATATACAGCTTTTACATGAAACAAAGTTACCAGCTCTAATGTTGTTTATGAAGCTTAAAAATAATAGTTTGAATGTCATTTACAAATACACAATATAAAAACAGACCAACTTGAGCGGAACATCGATTACATTTTTATAGAATTCCCTCCCCTCTCAATACTAAAATAGGCCATTGTGGTGAAGTTACTAGCATCTGCCATACGAACTTTTTAAATGGAAGGAGGTGTACGGGCCCATGACTTCTGAAATAAGTCAGTGTGTGTTTAAGATGGGTTGTATGTTGCCACAGAGGCTGTCTACCATCACCAACCAAACCCTGGTGACCAGTGGGGCTCTACAATCACAGCATTAAGCTTTCATTCAACTGTCTCATTCTTTAAAAAAGTAAAAAAGAATACTCCATAAAACTTCATATTGTACCCAATCTGTAAAGTGAAGATTCCCCCCCATTACCCTCAATATGAGGGATCATTTAAAGCCATTTTACCGGAACAAGAAACATACCTCTTTGCTCTCAGAGAAAAACAAACAACTGGATTTGTACAGCCCCATTCTGGATCTCGGTGAATGCAACAGTGCAGAGAAGTATTTACACATGAGT